GGGCGGGAGGGCTGAGGAGGGGAGAGGACCACCCGGCAGTGGTGGCGGAGTAGGGCTCCACCCTCTCTCGCGCACCCCCCCGCGTGCCCGAGGCTTAGCTGAAGCTCGCGTCTAGGTCCCTCCTGCTCAGCGCTCCAAGCTGCAAGCTTGCCCCCACTGCCTCAGGCCTTCGTGGGTAGAGGGCAGAGCCAAGGGGTGGGGGTGGGTGGGCAAAGGGGGGGGGAGGGGGGGGAAGGGGGGGGGGGGGGGCGGGGAGAGAGGGGAGGGGGAGGGGGCGGGGGACTTGGAGAGCAGGGAGGAGGAGGGAGGGGGCCGGGGAGGGGCTAGGAGGAGGGAGGGGGCGGGGCAGGGGCACGCGGGGGCAACGGACCTCGTACCTCCGACCCTGGGCCTGGACCCCAGACCCCAGACCTCAGACATGGGACCCCAAGTGCTAGATCTCGTACTTCACACCGGGGACCCGGCCCCCGGACTCTATATCCTTTACTTCAGACCCGGACCCCCAGATCCTGGACATCTTTAACCTCAGACCCCGGACCCCCGGATTCTAGCTCCTTTACCTCAGACCCCGACCCCAGACCCTGGACCCCGTACGCCGGAACCCAGGTAGAAGAGCCCAGACCCCCTACTTCAGACACTAGACCCCAGACCCAGAAATTGCGACCCCACACCTCAAGACCCTGACCTCGAATTCAGAATTGCCAGCCCCAAATCCTAGAACCTCCATCCCAGCAGCCCCAGACCTGGGACCCCAGTCCCTATATCCCAGACCTCAGGCCTCAGAACTCAGGCTCTGGATCCCAAACTCCAGACCTCAGATTCCAGACCTGCGGCTCCAGAACTCAGATCCCCGGCCCCAGACCCCAAATCAGACCCCAGCTCCAGTCCCTGAAACCCAGATCCCAATCTCAGACCCAGGACCCCCAATCCCAAAGCCAGACCCAACTCCAGAGTCCAAACCCCAGACCCTATCCCCAGTCGGTCTGCCTGCCCAGTGGACGGGACACCACTGTGTGTGTGGCAGGGGAAGCTGAGGCCCGGGGAAGGCTGCCATTGAATGGATGCTATGTGCCTCCCAGACTCAACAGATATATGGAGTCCTCCTCTGGGCCAGGTCTCGGCTGCCCAGCGCCGGCAGAGCTGGAACCCTTAAATGGCTAACTGCACCCACAGTGTCAGAGTGACAGAATGCCTTGAAGATGAGGCACAGGGAGCTTGGAGGGCATAAAATGGGGTCCCTTGAGCAACCTGGGGGTTGCAACCTGGAGATGCAGCCTGGGGGATGTAATGGGGGTACAAGTTCAGGGGGGCAGGGGACAGCCCGGAGGGCTTCCTGAGGGAAGGGATGCTGACCAGTGACTTAGAGTCAGGAAGATGAATAGGGGTTGGGTAACCTCTTTAAAGTCCCAGAAGTCAGGGGCTGGGTAGAGAGGGAGGGGTGAGGGGCCCTCCGCCGGCCCCCACCTGAGCATGGGACTTGAGTAACACCTGTGATAATTTAGCATCTAAAAAGTGGCTGGGAGACCCCCAGGGGTCTTGGACCCAGTCCATCCCATGGAGAAGGGATTTCTGCATGTGGGCTGTGGCCCATGGACACCCAGGAGAGCCACAGGCAAGACATTCTGCCTCAGCGTCCAGTCTCTGCCAGAATCCTGGCCAATTCTTACCTCCAAAGCAGACCTTGAAGCGACTCGCTTTTCCTGGGTCCCCACAGAGGTCGGCTTCACAGGCGTTCAGCCGCTGCACTTGATTGAATGCTCTGCTGTCACCACTGTGAAGTGCATAATAATTTTTCGACAAGGGGCCGCATGTTTTCATTTTGCTCTGCGGCCCAGGTCCCACTTCTCCACTGCCGTCTAGAACTGCCCAGCCCTCTCTCTGACGACCCCCAACCCCAGCTACCTAAGCTTCCTTACTCTTTTTAGAATCTAGGCTCCTCCCAACTTAAGCCAGGTCTCTGGGAGCCAATGAGTAAAGCCCTACCAGCACTTCCCTCAACTGAAAGCCAAACCCCTCACCTGGGGACAACATTTACCCCCAGGGCCGAGGACCCAGCTCCACAGATTTTACCAGCCCTCTTAGCTCAAGGTCTTTCAGCCCCACCTCATAGGATGTACTCCCATCCTCAGCCTTGGGCTCTGGATTTTATAAAATCTCACTTGCCATCCTCTGCTCTTTGGGGTGAGAAATTTCCCAAAGACCAAACCATACAACGTTATAACCATGGAAAAAGACATCCTGAACCCGGAGATAGTAGTGTTTTTGTTTTTGCTTTTTAATATTTGCTTCTTTTTTCAAGAAAGTATTTTTTTTAAATAATTGTGTTTATTTTTACTTGTTGACAGTTTTGCTTTATTTATTTATTTATGGCTGTGTTGGGTCTTCGTTTCTGTGCGAGGGCTTTCTCTAGTTGCGGCAAGCGGGGGCCACTCTTCATCGCGGTGCGCGGGCCTCTCACTCCCGCGGCCCCTCTTGTCGCGGAGCACAGGCTCCAGACGCGCGGGCTCAGTAGTTGTGGCTCACGGGCCCAGTTGCTCCGTGGCATGTGGGATCCCCCCAGACCAGGGCTCGAACCCGTGTTCCCTGCACTAGCAGGCAGATTCTCAACCACTGCGCCACCAGGGAAGCCCCAAGAAAGTATTTAAAAAAAAATTTTTTTTACACTTTCTCCCTCTTTTTTTTTTTTTTTTTTTTTTGGCCTCACCACATGGCATGAGGGATCCCCGACCAGGGATCGAACCTGTGCCCCCTGCAGTGGAAGCACAGAGTCTTAACCTCTGGACTGCCAGGGAAGTCCCTGGAGATGAAATTTTTTCAAAGATTTTTCTTTTTCACTCTAAAAGTAATATATAAAAAATAAAGGCGGGAACTTGGAAATGCCAGAAGAAATTCAGGAAAAGAACATGAATATCATCTATCCTATTACTATCCAAAAATTACCAATGTTAATACTGTATTTATTACCTTTTTTATTGTTTAAGAGGAGAATCTTTTTATATAGTTGGGATCACCCTGAATATATATCATTTGGTAAGAAGATGTCAGCCTTTTTATGTAGGGATGCTAAAAACTGGTTCACCCCAATAAAATCGGGCTATGGATATAGAGCTAGCAGCTTGATAAAGAACAAAACTCCTGATTCTTGTCTTTTGAGGATAATTATGAATTCATGGCATTCAGACTTGAGTGGTTTCATGAATTGGTCATTAACTAATCATTATTGACATGGGATACCTTTAAGTGGGCTCCGGTGTACCTTCAACACACCCAGAACTCAGAGAGGCATCCCTTCTTTCTGGCAACAAGATATACTAGGCCCATACTGCATCTTACCTGCCCTGAAACATAAAACCAGCTATTCTCCAAAGAGCCCTTATTCCTTGGGGTGGGGAAAAGTACCGATGACTGCATTTTGGATATTGGGACCCCTCTCTAATTACTGCACACAAACTTGTGGTGGAAAACTGATTAAAAACGACTTCAGTGGTCAGGTAGAAAAAATACATTTCAGAGATTGGAAGATCCTGTTGCTCTAATTTAGTTCTAACAATGCTGCAGAACACCTGCCCTCAGCAACTTCGGCCTGCGGGCCAGACCCTGCCCACCACCTGTGGTTGTAAATAAAGCTTTACTGGTACATAGCCACACCCACTCATTTACACCTTGTGTACAGCTGCTTTCCCGGCTTACATGGATTTGAGTAGTTGCCACAGAGACATTATGGCCAGCAAAGCCGAAAATATTTACTCTCTGGCCCTTTACAGAAAACATTTGCAGATTCCTGCTCTATAAATGCCTCACCCAAATTATAATTTCTCTTTTATCGTTTTGTGAACCATGTTAGTCTCCGAAGGTCCTATTATAACTGGTGTAATTTCTTGTTTTATCTGGCAATATAAAATATAAATCCAGGCCATGACAGTAAGATCAGCAACATCTAAAATAACTGCAGGTTGGGAATTAAGATCTAAGATCACAGAAGCTATCAGGATGAGTGTGAATGACTCACTCACTGATTGGTTAAGGGACCAGGCATATGACCAGTCCTGGCCAATGAGATCAGAGGAAAAGCCTGCAGGGGTGGGTATGTCCCTAGCATCCCGAGCCTGGAGGCTGCCCTAGCTTGCAGCTATTTGTTCTGTAAACTGATAGATGTCTTTATGGAGTTAAGCAAGCAGAGTTGTGTTCTCTGTTACTCATGGCTACAGGCGTGTAACTGCTGCAACTGGCCCTGGTTGCCACCTCTGAACACCTCCCGCTAATGACAGACAGGGAAGTGACTTTGTTCTTGCATCTGTTTTGATAATCCCTGATAATAACTGTGTGGTTATTTACAGGTATCCTACAGTATCCTGGGGAGACTGGTTCCAGGACTGTTGCACATACTAAAATCCGAGGATGCTTACGTCCCTCATATAAAATCGCATAGTATTTGCATACAACCTATGCACAAATGATACATATATTATTTATAGATTATGTATAGTACTTGATACAATGTTTTGTCTGGTTTTGTATCTCTGTTCCCCTACCAGGGATTCAACCTGGGCCATGGCAAACATGTTGTAGATCTTAATAGAAGTTCAAGTTGCACAGATGTGTGCATCTGTCAAAACTCAGCAAAAGGGGACCTCCCTGGCGGTCCAGTGGTTAAGACTTCGCCTTCCAATGCAGGGGGTGCAGGTTCGAGCGCTGGTTGGGGAGCTGAGATCCCACAGGCCTTGAGGCCAAAAAACCAAAACATAAAACACAAGCAACATCTTAACAAATTCAATAAAGACTTAAAAAAAAAACTTAGCAAAAGCGTATTTAAGACTTATGCAAGTCATTGTCAATTTTACTTCAAAAAAAAAATATAAACAAATATTGGACTCTTGTTAGTCATATGCTAATGATATGCACACCAAACTATTCAAGGAGTAGTGGGCTGATGTCTGCAACTGTGAAGCGCCTCAAAAATGAAATGAAGTAAAAAACCAAACAACAACAACAACAAAACCAAGATGAAGTGATGCATGAACAAAGGGATGGGGAGATGACAGATTTAATAAAATGGGAATGGTAGAAGTGATGTGTTAGAATGTGGGTGTTCACTGTAAACTTATTTAAACTTTGATACACATTTGAAAATTTTCACAATCAAATGTTGTTGGGAAAAAACTCGAATTTTGTTTTGTTTCCATTCGGCGGGTTAGGGGGCATTTCCTTTGTTGATCTCATCTGGGCTGATTTGTGAGACCACAGACACCTGGAGGGTTCAGTCTGCTGCAAGGTCCAAGATGGCTCCACTGGCATATTGGGCAAT